GAAAAATTTTCATTTTTAAGTTAACTATCCCTTTAAAGGTGCTGCCTGAATGCAAAAACAACAAAATATCACATCACTGACTTTATATATATATATATACATACACCGAGCAACTCCGCATCCGAGACCCAGGATAAAATAGTCCAAATATAAACACTTATTATAGGCGTACCGTAGTGATTCAGGATAAGTCAAAAACACGGTTTGGAAAACGGATTCATGATGTAGCCTACTCATTCATTTTGAACATAAGTTACGGACTGCAGCAACTGATACAACGGCGTTATGTTACGTGAGCATCCACTCGCACATATGCAACCACATAAAATTTTAACTCGCACATTCTCAAAAAATGGTCATAGTCTGGAACCAAATTATACAGAAAGCGATCAAAGAACAATTTCACACAGCGCGAGTTTATTTGGAGTTTAATTCGTTATGAAACCAATGATGCATGTTACACTGCACAACAAAGCTCTTACTGTATGTACATCATCGTGTTTGCATTGGTGAAAGCATTAGAGAGAGTGCAGAAACTGCGTTGCAATAATAAGATCTTCATTCAACTGTCATCTGTTAGCTCAATGCTCATCACAGCAACATTTTATGTGATGGGAATAGATCTAAATACTTAACTTCTCACGATTCGTTAATCTCGATAGCTGTAATAGTAAAAACGTATAATAGCTGTAGTAAAAGTATTTGAGAGAGTTCCACATGTAATATTTCATATGCAAGCATGTCAGCCAATCACAGCAGTGGGCGGTTGCACTGAATCCCACAGCAGACACGCCCCTTCAAACAAAGCGTTCAAATCAGAGGCTAAAATCAGGCTAGCCTTTTATTTCTAAATTAAGACTATTTTTGATGTAAAAAAAAACATACCAACACTATATAAGGGCAACCCAGGAAATATTATAAAATAATAAAAGTCGATTCTCCAATGGAGACAATTAATTAGATTTTTACTTCGTGAAACAGTCCAATTCAGTCTGGTGCAAGACACAGAACGGCTAACAACGTTTCTTGCTTTATGACACAATGTTTCTAGCGTGAAGTACTTTACTTATCCAAACTGACAGCGGAAACTCATTTTCAATTGTACAATTCATGCCAAGAGCCATTTTTGCGAACATTTTATTTTTTTTGCCTGAATGCAAGGCAACTTTTGTATAGCCATCAATTGTGCATTTTTATACGATAACATTAGACTCATCCTGTAAGTAATCTTTGTTACTCATACATCATTATTGCACATCAGTGCTCACTTGAAGCATCAGACAATTGCATATTCATAATTCACATGCATATGGATTACTCAAGAATTTGTTAGGCATCTGTTTCCATTGAGAACCCAGCAGGGCATTCACAGCAAGCGAGAGGAGAATTATTTTCAGGGTAAACCTTTTGGGTTGGCAACAGCATGCGGATTTCAGCCCAAAATCCGTCTGTAAATGTTTAGTTTGGCGGAAGGACGGACTCGCGAAACAGACTACTGTGTGTGCGCCGTACGTCCTGTGCAGAATCACAGAGCTGAGAGCTCCTATTTTTTTTTTTCAAGATTAACATATGCAGACAAAAACACACATCTCTTTCCCACTCTTTCTCAGGTTCCTGTATTGTTACAGCTCGGGATAACATGGCAAATCACTTGCAAGTCTAGCTGTTTGTGCCGCTTCGGCTATAAACACAGAAATTTGGTTTTCATTCCAGTTGTTCCATGGAATTGGACCTTGGTGCTTATTTGGACAAGCCATTTCTCATTGCCTTAATTCAGGCTAAGGAAACACAGCATTTGCATCAACTTGTGTGTTTTCGCTTGTGTTTTCAGTAGTTTTCCACGTAGGAAAAATGGGGATGTTTGTGCTAGACGCAGCGTGTTTGTCCTGGCTCGAAGAGTTTTCCCTCTTTTCAGAGTTTTTCGGATAGATTTCTGATGTTTTCTTGGTGTGTGTGGAAATGGATTTGTTTTGGCAGATCCTTCAGGTATTATTCACACCCTTGTTCTCGCTATCTCACCATCAGTGTTTGGATCTTTCCTGAAATGTGATTTTAGGATCAGATAAGAATAATTAACTTCCCTGCATGTTGAAGCAAAGGTGGGTTTTTTTTCTTCTCATTAACACTTTACGTAAAGCCTTTACGTATAATGCATTATAAAAGTATTCATAATGCATTTTTTTTATTATAAATAACTGTAACCAAAGTTAAAATGCATTAATATTTGCAGATTCCTTGGTACATCTGAAATTGATTGTTTGTTGTGTCTTAATGCATTGTACTATCTTAAGGTGTTCAATCAGTAGAAAAGTATTATGATGTATCATAACTGTGGTTACAGTTATTCATGAGCCAATAGAATGATGCATTACAAGACACAGTAAAAATCCCTTTTATAATGCATTATATATATATATAAAGGCTTTAAGTAAAGTGTTACTTCCCATTTCCTCTTTTCAGACAATGAACTAGCAGGTCTATCTGCAGTCCGTGCATGAGTGACAAAGGATATTGAGGCTTGAAAAGATCCCGGTTCCATTTCCAAGCTGCACGTTTGCTCATCCATACTAATTTTGACTCATCCAGAATCCAGATATCCTGATATATCCAGCTATGTCCCGTCTTTTCCAAGAGTTTCTGTTTTCATCCGAGATGTAGTTGTTGTTTAAAGGCCTGTTCACACACCAAGGACGAGAACTATATTCTTTATAAAGATGGCGAATGACGATAAAGATGTAATTCTAAAAATCGTTCTCAATATTAAAGAATACCAGAGTATAAAAACATTGTTCTTGGTGTGAACAGGCCTTGTGTTTTGCGTCATGGTTTCATTTACTGTACTGATGATTGTTTGAGTTTTTTTTTTCCAGCCTGACAACCTTCTGGAGATTTGTGGTGTGCTGTTTTTCTTCGAAACTTAACAGCATGTACTTTTCACCAGAAAGTTCAACTCTTGTCCTCTCCGTTTACAGAGCACTGCAGCAGTAGTGTTTGTTAAATGTCTTGGTGGTCTTCTGCAAGTTGTGAGATGGACAGCAATGTGTTGTTTTGTCCTCTGTAACCTCCTCCGAGCAACTTCCTGTGCAGTGTTTTTCTCGGGTCTTAGTAGATATCAAGAGATAAGAGATCCTGCAGGTCCAGGTCCTTTGAGAGATGCCTGAACACACTGACTCTCTGATCCTCAAACATAAATGAAGATCCTCAGTCTCAGCTGTCATCCGAGGATGTTTGTAACTTCTCTGAAGACTCCATGACATGCCCTTGCATTCATCTTTATTGGACGCTTCTAGGAAGTAGCAAGTGTGCTGACTTCCTGCTCATGTTTTTTAAACTTGTTTTTTCCAGTTCTAAATTCTTATAGTTTCATTTGGAAAGTTCTTGTGTCCCTTATATGTTGTGACTGCATCTGTTTGATTCAGGAATCTTGTAGGGCTCTGCTATTAATCAATCATGTGTGGCACAATAATTTGCATTTCGAACAGAGATGGCGACTGAGGAAAAACTGCGGACTGCAGCTTTAAGCAAGTCAACGTATTTGTTCAACTTACACTTTTACAACTCAGTGACAGATTTTCGGTGTAGAACATTTGAAGAGTTCAGATGCAAAAGCCTCTAAATACCATTTGAAATTTTCTTCTTTAATGATGATTTTTAACAAACTTGTATATTTAAGTTCAGTAATTTCACTTAAATAACAATTAATAGGTAATTATCATTGCCATTTAAGTGAAATCACTGAACTTAAATATACAAGTTTGATAAAAATGATCATTCTAGAAGAAAATTTCAAATGGCACTTAGAGGCTTTTGCATCTGAACTCTTCATTTTAAATTATTTTTGCTGTTACATGACAAGTCCATATATCATATGATGTCAGTCATTGACATTACTTAGTACTTGATTGAACTATGTCTTTAAATAAGGTTTCAGTTTATCAGCCTTGCTTATAACAAATCCAGTTCATTCATTATGGTTCACAAACACTTTTTCACAAATGTTTGCTGACTCACAATGTGGATTGTTCTTGATGGAGATGAATTACCTCGTTGATGTGTTTTCTCTCGGCTCTGTTCTCATCTCCATAAACTTGATTTTCAAGCCTGAATAGTCTGACACTGTATCTATCAGCTCGGTCACATTGTTGGTTGTTTATTTACTGGAGTGGTCTTTTCACTCTGTAATGTCTGTCTATGTGGGAGATGGAGACCTCATGTTCTGTTACCTGATAAAATCTCGCCAAAGCTCTCGCAGGGGTAGTCCAGTTCAGAGGCTTTTGTAGCCAGTGGTCTCCACGGTACACTTTTTTTGTGTGGATGGAGGACTTCCAACTACCTCTCACTTGGCGCTTGGCAAGTCTATGATAAATCTGATCTGAGGTCAGACATCAAACACGTTTTCTTTCTTTCGTTGACCCCGGTACACGCCTCGCAGCCGCTGCAGCTGATCAGATGTCAGGCCTTACTGCAAAATCAGCCGGGAAAGTCAGAGAACAAAAACCTAAAGTGCATTTTTCCTTTCTCCATCTAAGCCTTGCCTTCTCACTCACTGCCTCTAGCATTTCCTTTGAGCGCATCTTAAAGTGTCAAATAAAGCTTAGCCAAGTCCTGTGTTCACAAGCTCAGGGAATCGTTCAGATCTTTTATGGAGTCTGAATCCACGCTGTCAGTTTAATTCATGTTTCTATTTTTAATGATTTCCCATTAAAGAAATGAGAAATCATTTCTCATTAAAGAGAGGAGATTTCTCCTCTGTGTTTGGCCATTTTGTCCTATTGGATTGTCTAATATGCCTTGATGGAAATTTATTTTGCCACAAATCATATTGTTGCTATAGACACTAGTGTAATTCAAAGTAAACAGCTCAAGCTGTTTGTGTAGCGACGTAATTTCTGCTGAGTTCACCCACATGGGCGAGGATGCCAGATTTGTACCACGCTTGGAGTTGTTGATATGAAGCGTGATGATTTACAGCTGTTGTTTCTTTGTTTTTCCTTCCGAAGGTATGGAGTGACCCCAGAAAACATCATCCTCTACGGTCAGAGTATAGGGACGGTGCCGACGGTAGACCTGGCGTCCCGGTACGAGTGTGCGGCAGTGATCCTTCACTCTCCCCTCATGTCCGGTTTGCGCGTGGCCTTCCCTGACACACGCAAAACGTACTGCTTCGATGCCTTCCCAAGGTAAGATGCAAACATCTGTGATCCAGAATGTAATGCTTGTGAACATGCCCTTCTAGCTGAAATGAAAAGATTATTTTTTATTTTTCAGTAAGGATGCATTAAATTGATCAAAAGTGACAGTTAAAACATGTTGGTAATGCTTTACAGTATACTGTAGGTTCCATTTATTAACATTAGTTAACTACATTACTTCAATGAAACTAAAGCATTTAATAATCTTACATAATATTAATTTGGTTAATGTTAAAGTTGGATCTGTTCATATTTAATGGCCCTAAGCTAACATGAATTAACAATGCACCGTTGTTGTTTTTTTGTTAACTAACATTAACAAAGATTAATATACTGTACAAATATATTGCTTATTGTTACTTAATCTATTGAATAATGAGACCTTAAGGGCTGCCCCCAACTAAAGTTTTTTCTAGTTGAGTAATCGTTTGTTTGTGCCATTAGTCAACTAATCGCATGTTTATATTCATTCAATTAATTAAATGTATACTGGTGGTGGAAAATGCCTTGCACCACTCAAGTGCCCTCATAAAGCTTGTCGCAAAGCACTGGCAAAAGTAATGATTAATAAACAGATAATTTTTCCTTCATTTAAAAAAAAAACAACTAGTGTTTTCTGAGTCGATATCGGCTGCAAAGATAAAGTTGACAATGCTGACTCGCCATCTCCGAAGCATATTGGCTGCGCCTTAAAAGAAATGCAGCTTTCATATGGATTACGTAATAAAGACTGTTTGTTTTCTATTTTATAATATTTATATATAAAATATTGATGTTTATATTTAATATAAATTATATACACATCGGTCCCACTTTATATTAAGTGGCTTTAAGTACTATGTACTTACATTGAACAATAAGTACAATGTATTATTGTGTTCCGGTTGTATTGTAAAACACTTTTGCTGCTATTGAGATGTGATAAGGGTAAGGTTAGGGACAGGTGTGGTGGTATGGGTCGGTTTAAGGGTAGGTTAAGGTGTGAGGGGAGGGTCAACTGTGTAATTACTAATGTAATTACATAAAGTAATTATGGCTGTAATTACATGCTGGAATTTTAAAATATAAGTACAATGTAAAAACATGTAAGTACACAAAAGTCCATTGTAACAAACTATTAATTTTAATGTAAGTACATAGTATTAAAAGCCACTTAATATAAAGTGGGACCCTTTTATTGTGGATGTGATTAATCGTTTGACAGCCCTAATTTTTTTTTTTATGTGTTGTTCCAATTTTGTGTGCAATATGCTTTAGATGATCCATGAATGGTTAGTTGGTTTCTAAGATTAAACGAGTAACTGGTAACAGCCTGAAGCTGTACACAGTTCATTGCGTTACCAACACAGATGGGTTGCAGGAAACTCAGGAATCTGAATGAGATTGAATCGGAGTTAGCCATCTCCCTCAAGCTGTGTTCCCTTACTTCCTCTTTTCCAATGGTAGTTTTGTTTTTACAATCTTTCAGAACTTTTCTGAGTTTTTACTGCTCAGGAAGTGGCTTACATATTTACCACACTGAGTTAAAGTGCTAAAAATGTTCCTTCTTTTCAACGGTTAAAGTGAAGGCTCTCAAGTATACCAAGTATATGTGCTCTCAAGTATATTCTTTTTTTCTTAAAAGTGAAAGTGGTTGCAGGTGCCAAGTAATGTAATGAAAGTTGAACTGGCTGTCAGCTATTTGAGATTTTTCATGTATTAAGAAAAAGTTAGTTTTTGTACTAGAAAACTGCCACTCGTAAAAAAAAAAAACAGGTAGATGTGTATTGATAAGATGATAATCTTAATTAGGATAATAAGGGCACTTTGTTTTGAAGGTCTCCGGTTTAGATGCATTAAAGATAAAGCTTAAATATTTTTTATAGTATACATTACACATCACCACATTTTTCAATGATTCTCAAACGACTTTTCCGATAATTCAGTCTTTTTAAATCCCTCCTTTCCGTGAGCCTACTCTGCTCTGATTGGCCAGGTGGACCAATCTGTTGTGATTGGTCTACCGCTTACAACTAGGGATGTCCGGATCCGATACTCAGGATCGGTATCGGATCCGATACTCAGGATCGGTATCGGGTATCGGTCAGACGAGGCCGATCCAAATCCGATATTGTGCCGTATACTATTATGTTATTGTTAAGCCCCACAAAAGGCACAAAAACATTCTAAAGTACCACATAACGTTTTTGCGCACTCTATTATAAGTGTTCTGAAGCCATTATGTGTGAGAGAAATTAATATTTAAGTCATTAAATATCAAGATCACGTAAATTTTTCCCTCTCGCGGCTGTCAGTCATTCTCCATTCAGCACTCAAACAGCACGTCGCGTTCGGTTACAGTAAATGATTAAACTATCTTCAAGATGATTCAATGTTAATACTATTAGACTTTATCTGTAGATAAAGGTCTATGTTTTCGCATAAAACAACATTATCTTGCTGGACTTTATTGCTGTAACTTAATCGTGTTACTTTCTACCAGGTGTTGGACACTGTCGGTTAGATTATAACACAAGAGTCCGAGCACTATTGTTCTTATGAATATCGTAAAAAAAGTCACGGTTATATAAATATCCATGTCCGTGTGGACAAGGCCTGAGATGCAGATTAATATGGGCCAAAAGGCGCCTCCTAGTGGTCTAACCATAACCCTAAACCAGACCTAAACCTACCCATAACCGAACAAAGATCTGTCCGTTTTAAAATGACGCTAAAGGGTGCCATGTGCGTTGGATTTAGACGAAATTTTTAAAAGTGTCACTATATGACGCCCTAGGATGAGAACGCGTTGATTATTTCTGAAGGATCATGTGACACTAAATACTGGAGTAATGATGCTGAAAATTCAGCTTTGCATCACAGGAAAAAAAATACATGTTAGAATGTATTCAAATATTATAAATTGTAGTAGACTTGCAAGTAAACTTGCAATTTATTTATTTATTTATTTATTTATTTTGATCAAACAAATGCAACCTTGGTCAGCAAAAGAAAATCGTCCCTAAAACATTTAATAAATCTTACCGACCCCATACTTCTGAACTGTGTTGTATCCTGTCATCATATGAAATGAATGTCTGTCTTATTGTAGTGTTGTTATTCTAAGATCTGAGTGAGCGAACTTTAATGCCATGCCTAATATGACAGGTCAGCAATTAACACCTATACAAATATGCTCACGCGTAGGTTGAATTTCAGTCTCATTAGCAAGGAGATAAACATTGTCCCTTGCTGTCAAATGTAAATCTCCCTTCCAAGTCTACTTTGGAGGTGTTTTTGCTTGGACAGGTTGTTGTGTAACTTCTACGTGTAATTGCTCTTTAAACGCCATCCCTGTAACCTGTCAAAAAAACCTTGAAGGACAACATGAAACTCCATTTTCTCTTTCACAGCTATATTACACAGCTTGAGGCATGTCTGATTACACAGATTATCTTCAAGTATTCCTGGTAAAATCAAAGTAGTTCTTTTGAAACCCCCAGTCGTGATAGTTGATACCTTTTCCTGTTTCTGTCACTTTTCCTTGAAAGTGTCAGGTGACGCGTGCGTTGTTTCCGATTCTCATTCCCTTCATCTCTGGCTTTAACTACCATGTCTGGCTTCTGAGATAAAGCTGGAGAAAAACAGCCGATGCGTGTACAGCTCACCTGTGCAGCAGAGAACACCTATCTTTATTCCGCACTCGACTTATATCAGTCGTGATATACCCTCATCACGACCCGCCGTGCAGCTTGGCACGTAAACCATTTCGCGTCAGCTTCCTGCATGTTCTAGTTTATTATGATGTCCATTCTGGTGGTTAGATTCTCCTGCTACAGTATTCATAGGTAGCTTCATGTCTCATGCAGCTGAAACATTCAAATTCAGAATGAAAAACTTTTTATGTCACGTAGCCACATAGACTGATGGCAGAAGGTCTAGACTCCACAACAGCTTTCAATGGCCAAGGACTGGATGCCGTCTGACTGACATGCAGCACAACCAATCACAGTTCGCTTTGTTCCGTGTCATGTTCAGGGACGTGAAAATGTAATGTCGATGTGGCTACGGTAAGAGACCGGTGTGTAAAAATACTCGTAGTATTTTAAAGAGTCTATGCTGCCAACTTTACATACTTCACATATTTTTGAAAATCCAGTTCTCATTGTCAAAGTTGTAAAAACGACAGCTTTATCATTCCATGAGGGGGGGTTGGCATCACCGCATCTTTGTTTCCAAACAAACTGTTAAAGAACCCGACAGGCACGTCTCTTTTATTTGGTGAATTTCTTCAGTGAATGTCTTTATTGCCATTTTTGATCGATGTAATGGTGCGTTCACACTGGACTCGAATAGTGCTCAGGCACGAATGATTTCAATGTTAAGTCAATGCAAAGACGCGTTACGGGAGTAAAAAAAATTCCTGCGGCGCAAATTCCATTTCCATTTGTGCGAAATTCCATTTGCGCGTCGAATTATCGCAAATTGAGTGTCTGGCGCGTTAAGCGCGAATAGTGCTATTTGTGCATTCATGCATTTGACACAAATTCGCGTCTGCCGCCCAAGTTGGCGTCAATTCGCGCCCCGTTAACCAATCAGGAGCCTGCTGCTTGCTAACGTGATGAAGGATCTGGATGCTTCAATAAATTATTTTATAATATGACTAAATGCCTGGTGTGGTTCTAATGTACAACAAAGCAAATATTTTATCACTTAAAACTTTATTTCAATATATGAGACATGTTCATTTTGTATTGAATGTTATTTATTCCATATCTAGATTATATGAAATATTATTATGATGTAAAGACAACCAACATGCATGTGCATAAGTCCATGTCTGGACGTGAGAGAGAAAAAAATCACAGGACGGGTTAATAACTTTTGGAGGCTGGCTCTATTTATCATGAAAACAAATGACAGATTAAACGGATGAGGGCGAGGGTGATCCTCGCTCCGATGCGGGACAACATGTCATCAAACTGGGCGCGAGACAGGCGGAAGTACCG